GAAAAGGTTACTGCTTATGTAGATGAGAAGGCATTTGACAAGGTGCCACAGAAAAGGCTTTTAAAAATGATCTCTATAGGTGTGGGGGATAAATTTGCAAATTGGATAGAAGAGTTGGCTGGATGGAAGAAAGTAGAGGGTTGTTACAAGTTGAGCTCAGTCAAACTGTATTAATGTCACAAGTGGGGGTACCTCAGGGCTCAGTAATAGGTCCCTTGCTCTTTTTGATTTGCATCAAGGACATAGATGAAAGAATAGTCAATAGATTATTAAATTTGCTGATCATATTAAGGTCTTTGGTGTTGCTAGCTGTGAAGAGAATGCTGCTGATTTACAAAAAGGATTTAGATCATTTAGTGAGTTGCATAAATAAATGGCAGATGGGTTTTAATTATAATTAATGCACGTAGTTTTAAATAAGTATAATTTGGATGGAAATAACCTTAACAGTGTCATGATAGAAAGGGAGCTTGGTGTAAGAGTCGATCACTCTCTAAAGCCATCCAAGCTAGAGGTACGGCAAATAGGATTTTAAGCTGTATGTAGAAAAATATTGAATATAAGTCTAAAGAGGTTATAATTTCATTTTATAGGTCACGGGTTAGGCCACATTTGGAAAATTGTGTTCAATCTTGGGCTCCATACCTTAGAAAGGACACTGAATTGTTGGAAAGGGTTACTAGAATAGTGCCTGGGATGGACGGGTTGTCATACGAGGAGAGGCTAAAATCTCTCAAATTGTTTTCTATTGACTTAGGTGTTTAAGATTGTAAAGGGAATTGATGGTGTTGATGCATCATCTTTTTTCATGTTTAATTGTGAGAATAGTAGGCATAATATAAATTTTGGTACCCCCCAGTGGCACAGCGGTATGTCTGCAGCCTTACAACGCTAGAATCTGGGTTTCGATACCCGTGGTGGGCAGAGCACAGATAGCCTCTTGTGTAGCTTTGTGCTTAATTACAAACAAACAATATAAATTTTGGCAGGGTAGGACTCATCTTCAGCTAAGACAGTTTCATTTTTGTAACAGGGTGGTTGGCTTTTGGAATGGGTTGCCTTCGAATGTTGTAGAGGCAGTCAATTTAAGAAAAAGCTTGATAAGTATGTGAATGATAAGGGATGGCTTTAAGATTGCATTTTTTAATTATTTTAATCCAGTTTAAAGGATGGAACAGGCGAGATGGACCGAAAGGTCCCATGTTGTCCCAAAACATTGTCATATCTTGGTAAAATTA